TTCCACACAGTTTATTCTTCTCATCATTTGACCCAAAGGCAATCTACAAAACTATATTAAAATACAAACATTAGGCTTAAAGGGAAAAGTTTATTTTTTTACAAATCTTTTATTTATTCATATCTCTAGCTCCACCAAACTCTGCAGCACTGGCAGAAGTGCCATGTTCTTTGTACATAGTATGATGCATATATATAATTATCTTTTTTTAAATAGTGCAGACACTTGGCATGTATTTACAAGATGACAATAAAATTATTTCAATTGTCAAGCTTTCAGTCAATAAGGCCTTCTCCAGAAGAAAATATTTTACATTAAATCACCAATAGAATAATAATTAAAATCAAATAAATTGGTGATTCAATGTAAAATGTTTACTCCTGTAGAAGGGCTTTCTTGCCAGAGATATTTATAAATAAAAGATTTGTAAAAAAGAAACTTTTCCCTGGAGGCCTAATGTTTGTATTTTGATATTGATTCAAGGGATTATTTTATCGAATTATATTTTTTATTGCTCCAAGAAATTAGATGTAAGCTGAACTCTGCCTTTGCTGGTCCCAAGCCCGGATGAAAAAGGAAGAGGAGGAGCAGTAACAAGCTTAATAAAAAACCTGGGCTCAGCTGGCCCGGCTGATAGTACCCTGTAAGGGCTCCTGTGATCCAGGAATACAGGATGAGCAGCGTTTGTACTCCATGTTAGGAGCGGTTGCACATGGCGTCTGTTCCTCATGTCAGAGGCGGTCATTTCTTTTGGAGCTAAGTCGACCTGCCACTGAGTAGTACTCCCAGTCTTAATGACAAAGGCAGATGCATTCTACTTCACCCAGTAAAGATGGTTGTCAAACTTTACAAGCTTGATACCCTAATATGATTGAGTGGAGATAAGAAAGAAGATAAGAAGAAGAGATGTAAACTGTGTGAATATCACAGAAAGTAGATTGTAACTGCTTATGTTGTGAGTGAATCATAAAGTTGCAAATAGTTCAACTTTCCAATCACACTGGGAAATGACTTAGGTTGTCTGGTGGGTTTAGACTTCTACAAATATCTTCAAGAGATAAGTTTTATGCCAAAATTGCAACTGAATGCTCTTACCAAAACGTTACAAACATTTCAATAATTATGAGATTTGATCTTGTTACCTTTTGATATACTAATCTATAATCTAAATTGTACCCCATCAAAATGAAAAGGTCTTTGATGAAAAGACCAACTACCAGTTAATCATCAAGGTTGGTAACTATGAGTATTCCATTCTATAGGATTCAAAAGGTAACAAGACTTCATCCAAATAGATGAACTGCTTGTGATATTTCAGTAACAACATTGTTACCATCTTCAGACAAAAGAGTATTAAATGATAAAAAATATCATGAGACATATTTTTTAATATTTGGTAGTGTCATCAGTGGTGTAAACTGTAGTGTCAGTACCTACTATTTAAAAACTTGTTGCGATATTTTTTGCTTTTAAGTTTTAAAAAAAGATGACACTTTTCCACACAAGAAATAGAAAATCTTTCCAAGTGAATCAACTCACTGCAGTAGAGCTCATCAAGTCCCTCAGGACAGTCACGATAGCCATCGCACCGCTTGCTGGCATCGATGCACTGCCCATTGCGGCAGATAATCTGGTTGGGGCCACACTTCTTGGAGCAGTTCTGTTCATCCGAGAAGTCAGGGCAGTCGTAGCGTCCATCGCAATACTGTGTGGCCTCAATGCATCCACCGGAAGCACAGCGGAACTGGCCAGGCTTGCAGAGACCTGCCAACATGGCACCATGAGCTGGGCAGAAGCAACAGTGGGAGAACTAACTCTACCAGTACATTCAGCTTCATCTTCTTCACTGGGACAATCGGGGCGGCCATCACACCGCTTCACCATATCAATACAGAAGCCGTTGTTGCAGGGGAACTGGTTCGGTTGGCACTCTAAAACACAAAAAAAGGAAGGTTAGATATGGACAAAAGGCACACACACCATCACATACCTATCACCCTATTTTAAAATGAATCTTTGAGCATTTAATAAATTGATGTCTTTGGATAGGGAAGAGGGGTTACTCACTATAGAGTGAGGAGTAGCCCTGTCATGACAGTCAAGTCTCTGCTTAGAGTGATGATGAACGACCAATGGCTCTCTAGTTGAAACTAGGGGGGTCGGTGGAAGGTTGGTTAAACTGTTTGGTTTTCGACCACTATGACCCGGGTTCGATTCCCGCATTGGGCACTTTTTCCTGTTTAAAAAAAAAAAAATGCTCCAATGGCCCCCGATTTTTGCTAAAGTCCAACCCCACCAGCGAGTGCAAGTAACCAAATGGGGCTCTGGAACATTTGTAAGTGCAAAGTCAAACTGTTTTTCACATGTTTAGACATGTGGTGCGCTTACAGTAAAAGCAGTCGCTAACTACCCACCATGATTATCATGGCCTGTACCATGTGTACTAGGGATAAGCAAAAAAAAAAAAGAGCAAGTTTTGTCACCTTTCCATTTTGAAGTTTAGTTTATTTCCACTAACTAGAAAGTAGTCTCCCATCAAAGATCACTGAAAACATAGCTAAGCCCAATCTCTCCTGAAGGTGGTCTCTCATCGGAGACTCTGTTCTGATTGAGAGACTGATGACTTGGCCTGACAGGAGAAGAGTTTGTGTTGAAGAGTGACTCGCACATCGGCTGTTACCATAGCAACGGCCACTTCCCCCAGACATCACGTGACCTGGCGCCGCTCCGGCGTACCTGTAATATAGGTTTCAGTTTTGCCTTGTGTCTGCCTCTACGCTTGCCTTTTGTTCGACTCTCTTTGTTACTTGTCATCTTAATATAAATAATTGATAATTAAACATCTTTTCTGAGATCCAGCCTCTGATTCTCTTACAGTTTGATAAGAGAACACCTCTGGGAAAGACTGGATTTAGCTTTATTTTTAGACTATGGCCTCTCAGGTTCTACTATTGTGTTTTAAAAATTACTGGGAGGGATGATAAAGAATGACTTGCTTCCATTATTCTCTATATGATTCTGTATAACTACTGGTTCAATAAGGATCCATTGTACACAATGACCAAAGACCACTCACTTGTACAGATGAGCTCATCTTCCCTCTCTGGGCAGTCAGGCTTGTGATCACACTTGTGGGTCTGGTTGACACATGTGCCATCAGAGCACACCAGGTCTGTTGACTTGCAGTTGGGCTGGTAATCTGAAAGTTCAGCTCAATTAGCTTTGAATGATGTCTCTTACTTGATTTTTGTGTTTCCACAAAAGGAATTTTAATTTTTTTTTTAAAGAGCAAAATATAGCTGGTAATGACAAAATGAATGCTGGATTTAATAATATTTAATAATGGCAGTACAGTAGGACTATCATGAGAGGACACTTTCGCTAGAGAACCCCTCTCTACATAGAACAGTTTTTTCACCAAAATTTCCATATTTTCAACACAATGCAGTGTTTTTTTTTCCAGTACTCTTGTCTGAAGATGATAATAATGCTGTTACTGAAATGTCACATATAATTAACTTATTTGTGGTCTTGTTACCTTGTGATTCTTATTTATAATCCAAATTACATCTCGTAATAACTTCTAAAGAATTATATCAGAGAGAGGAATTGAAGGTGGTTCATTTGAAGATTCTGGTATAAGGAGTGAACACAAAGCATCCACCAGTGTGTAACTGTGTGGAAAACTATTTTGAATTAAAATTGAAACATTCAGTACTTTTGTCTGATGATGGTAAAAAATGCTATTACCAAAACGTCACACACTATTTATATATTTGGATTTGGTCTTATTATCTTGTGTTTCTAACCTATAATCCAAATTGTACCTAATCATCTATTTGAATGGGCAAATATTTGTAGGTTTAAAAATAAAATAGAAATTGGTGCTTTACTGTGACCTATGTAGCATTCACAGGTACATAGTTTCTATAACTTCATATCTAGAAGGCTTTTTTTCCCATTTTAATTATATAAAACTAGATAGAGAATTTAACTTACCGCAATTCTCCTCATCTGATTTGTCCCTGCAGTCAAAGATTTGGTTACAGTGCTGGGATTTGCTGATGCAAGCTCCATCTCCGCAGGCAAACTGGTGGGGTTGACATCTTCCAGTACCTACACACATACACGTACTGTAGCATCCTGCTGATATATTCACAGACCCAATTATCTCTCTAGCTCCAATAGAGGTGCAAACATGGAACCTCTCCCATTTGCTCAAACCTCTCTGTGCAAAGTGAGAAGATTCTGATAAATTGAATACTACCACAACACCACATTTGGAAAATTTGAACTAAAGCCAACATGCACATCATGGTTTTGGGCTAATTGGTATAGGGGATTATGAGAGGAGCTATGGAATCGGTTGAATCTGCCAAAGAGGTGTTTTAGGCAGTTAATTTATCATAAATTCACCATACAGTAGAACCTCCATGAGAGGACACTCCCACTAGAGGACACCTCTCTACAAAGGAGTTTTCTTCGCAAAATTATCATTTTTAGTATTTAGCAACTCTCCAGTAAGAGAACACCTCTCCCTAAAGGACAATGGCTCTGCAATTAGGTGTCCTTTGCAGGGAGATTCTACTGTATATATATTTAGTAAACAGTATTGTAACCCTCATCAGGCTAGAGATTTCTAGTTAAAAACCTTACAGAATGTCTATATGGATGTGTACAATAGAGAATATCTTTGATATTTATCCAACTATATAAAAACAAAACTATATAATTCAACATTTACCTTAATTCAACCAATATTTCACTTACCAATCAGCCTATTTACTTTAATCAACCATAATACAACACTGACTTTAATTCAACCAGAAATTCTGATTCCTTAAGATGTTGAATTAAAGAAGTATTGATATGTGGAATGATATATGACTATGCAACATAGAGAAATGATTGTAGGTTTGATTCAGTTACCGCAGTTTCTTTCATCCGACTGGTCTCTGCAGTCATAGATCTGGTTGCAGCGTTTAGAGCTGTCAATGCAGGCTCCATCATGGCAGCGGAACTCATTCTGAGCACAGGTTCCTGCACACAACTCCATTCTACTCTCCACACAATATTACTTTGAGAAACTGCACTTGCTAAATACAAAAGAACATGTAGTGGTTCAAATCTCACATACACATGGTACAGGTCAGTCATAATAATCATGGTGGGTAGTTAGCGCCTGCTTTTACTTTAAGTGCAACACATTGACATGATGTATAAAGCAGTTTGATTTTTGCACTTATAACTGTGCCAGGGTCCTGCTTGGTTATTTGCACTCACTGGTAGAGTTGGGTTACTGCAAGAATCGGGGGCAATTGAAGAAATTTTTTTTCAGAAATAAAGTGCCCAATGCGGGATTTGTTCATGGGTTGTGGTTATCAAAAATCAATGGTTTAAACCGCTTGTCCACTGACCCCTCACATTCAAAACATGTTTAAATAATGTATTCCTTTAATAAAAATCGAAACTTTAGACCCTTCAAGGTAAAAATCAAAGGAGAATTGCAATACCAGTAATTTCAATACTTCACTTACCTTTTAAGATCTTTTGTCCATTTTATTAGACTTTTACAATTGTAGTTAATGCATCCTCTAATACTATAGTGAAAAATATGCGGAACCTTCAATGTGAAACCACCATATAATTAATTGTCACAAAGAACTCTAATCATAGAGAAAACTTTCAATTTCAAAAAAATAAATAAATTTTATTGTAATAGATTTTCATTTTTGTTAAAAAGAGTTATTACAATATATCTCTAGCATTTCTGTTATACTTGCATTATTTTTATTATATAGGTATAAAATATAAATTAAATATAGTAAAACCCCTCAGTGATGGGGAACACCCACTAGAAGACACCACTCTACAAAGGACAGTTTTCATCTCCAAAATTAATAATTTACCAATTAGCTGCTCTATGGTAAGAGGACACCTCTCCCTGAAGTATACTTTTGCTTTGCAACTAGGTGTCCTTTACAGGGAGTTTTTACTGTGTATCACAAAATATTTGAAATAAATAAAATATTTATATAATACATATACAGGGTATAATTTCTTTAAGTCAACTCTAAATATAATATTGAACCATTTTTCAAATAAGAATTCTTCTTATCTGCTATCTTGTTTACACACTTGATAACAATAACTATTTAAAACAAGCTGTGGTATATTTTCTCATTCAGTACTTTTGTATTGTAACAATGCAGTTACCGAAACGACATGCACTATTCATTTATTTGTATTTGGTCTTATTACCATGTGTTTATAATTTATAACCCAAATTGTGCCTTATAATTTATAATAACAATTAATTAGCGGATATATTCACATCAACACTGGAACCAAAACCTTTCATTTTTGGTAATATAAAAACAGAAAAGGACTAAATATCTTATTTTTAAATAGTTTTTAAAATTTATACAGTAGAACCTCCCTATAAAAGACACCTAGTTGCAGAGCCAAAGTGTTCTTTAAGAAGAGGCGTCCTAAGAGAATTGCTAAATAGTAAAAGTGGTAATTTTGACAATGAAAACTGTCCTTTATGGAGAGGTATTTTCTAGTGTGTGTCCTCTCATAGAGGTTCTATTGTATTATAGATTTTTTGTATGGTTTCTGACACAGATAAAGGCTTTTTTCTAAAATTTTGATAATAATAGTCTTCTAGCTAAAGTGGCTTCATAAAAATCAGTTCAGAGTGTGAGCTGCTGCTTCTATCTTCAATGCAGTCTGTTACATCTCTGTGGAGGTTGTAGCCAGCCGACTGTTGTCCATCACAGAAGGGAAGTCTGGCCTTGTTCCACACAGGCCCTGCCTTTGGTTAACCAACAAAATGTGGTAGCAGCTTGGCATTCCAATGTTCTACTGCCACCACGACATGTAACAACTATTGCTAGGGATCACCTTTCCACCATACACATAGAAGATAGGGAGAAAAGAGAAAGAGAGAGAAAAAAGTAAAAGAAGAATGAGGCAGAGTAAGACCTACCACAGCCTTGCTCGTCCTCTTTAGAGGGGCAGTCAACCACTCTGTCGCACCGCTGGCTAATTCTGAGGCAAGTGCCGTCAGAGCACCGAAACTCATCAGGGCTACAGCGAGACCCTCCTGGAGTCCAGAACAATGTCAGAGTAGAGGCGGGGTGTTGGATGGTTAGTGGCAGGTCACATCACTTCAACCTACTTTCTTGGTGCCTTGTCTCAATAGACAACAGGAGTGACCACCAGTT